CCACTGCTGCTGGGCTCAAACTCATTTAAGACTCCACTTAACCTAAAGGTGCTTTTCACTACAACTGTCTGGTGTCTGTGGCTGACAGGCCCAGGGGAGGGTGGCTCCGGTGTCCCCAGCAGGCTGGAGGGGAGAGAAGCTCACACCAGCATAGAGGAACCATTATGCTGCCTCAGGGCAATGCTGGCAGGGCCGGGCGCCCGTGGCTGAAGGGCAGGATGGGGACAGGAGACTGATAAGTCCCTGTCTCTGGGCACTATGCAGAGCCCTTTGTTGGCAGGGGATGCAACTTTCAACCCCCTCCCCTAACTGCAGTTGCTTTTATCTGCCCCGCATCCCTGCAGTGGGTAGTTGAAAGCCCGACTGGCACACCCTGCCCTGCTCTCCCTCCAGCTGACACCAGCAGCCCCAGCAGCACCCCATGGGTACAGGTACAGCCCGAGCTCCCCGGGACCTGCACGGTCCCTCCCTCCTGCCCCATCCCACTCCCCCCCGCAAGGCAAGGTCTGCCAGGGAGGGAACTGAGTCCGTGCAGGAGGAACCAGCAACCTCAGAGCAGGGCGCTGAGCTGTGTCCTTCACCAGTTCAGCCCCTTTCTACCTTCAGTGACAGCAAAACGGGTACAGGCTTCCCAGCCCGCCCTGCACCGTGGGATTCATAAGCCTTGCGGGTGTGCGCAAGTTAGACAGCAGCAGTTCAGTTCCTTCCCTGCAGCCAGCGGGAGCCAGGGCAGCCACCTCCTCCCTGCAGCCTCCCGCGCTTGCCTGGGGGTCCCCTGCTGCAGGGCAGGTACTGCGCCAGCATGGCCTCGGCAGCCCCCCGGAGACCTGTGGCCACTCTGTGCCTTTCATTCTGTCCACAATCAACGGCTGAGTTCTGGGAGACCTGGTTCTTTCGGGTGTTGGATCTTGTCCCAGCCACAGCTGTATTTTGGAAAGAGTAAAATAAAGGGCCTCTCCCAACATGCGGTTGGTTATTGCAGAAACACTGTTACATTAATGATCGAGACCAGCTGATGTTATAAACCGCTTGCAACCTGTTACAGATGTTTGTATCTCGCTGTTTTCATTGCAAATAATGTGCCTTATGTAAGGACAAAAAAAAAAAGCCAATGAGGCATCTCAGTTTGCACTACCACTGCCCTATTTACTATCAGGACACCAATAAAGATTTCCTTTCTGAGTCACACCACTGGATGTCTCTCCCACGTACTGTTCATTTCTGGGTGGGAGGTGTTAACATACTGCTGCACCCCCACCTCCGGGCAGGAGCAATGCACACATATTTCCAAAGGTTCCTGCCCATCCTGGACTCACCCGACTTGCTTCCCAGCCTCCGGCTGCACGTGGTGAACCCAGCAATCCACCCAGGACTAGGAGAGGCTGGCGGCAGGGGAGCCAGAGGGAAATGATTTCCCTGATGCCGGAGGCTGCCGGGCTCTCTGTATAAATCCAGACTGCCAGCAGGCAAGGCTGGAGCCACGGGACCGGCAGCCTGGCTCAGGAACAGCTGTGTCCACAGCTATTCCCGCTGGAAAATTAGAGCGTGGTTGTTCCTACCCATCTTTACATGGCCCCTTCACTGCTTAGACAGGTCGGAAGAAAGGGGGAAAGAAGTTCAAAACAGAAAAATAGATAGCGTTTATTACAGATCTTACAACTTTCCACGTAAGGGGTCCCCTGAGGCAGGGTCAGAGCTCTCCTCTGTCGCCCTCTCCAGCTACTCAAGCCGGCTCCCCGGCCGAGCGGGCTCCCAGCTTGCTGAGCTTCTGCAGGAGGGTGCTGCGCAGCGCCTTGTCACTGACGTTGTCTGTGATGGACTCCAGGAAGTGCCTCTCGTTGGCTCTCCGCAGCGTGTTGCTGGGGGACGTATCGGCGCTGCTGAACGTCTCGTACTGCGAGAGGATCTCCAATGCCACCACCACCAGTGGCTCGCTGCACCCCTCGCTCGGCAGCATGGCAGCGACGTGCAGCAGGTGGCAGAACATCTGGATGCAGATGAAGGACACCTCCTGCATGGAGGTTCTGTCCTCGGGGGAGTGCAAGGGGGGCCCTGCGGCGCTCTTGACGGAGCCCAGCAGGTCCGTGAGGCTGCCGCAGTACAGCTGGACCACATGGAGCCAAGCCTCTGCCGGCAGCCAGGTGGAACAGCTGGAGCTGCAGAGGAGCTGGAAGCCCCTCAGGAAGAGCACGGAGAACTGGAGGTAGCAGGCAAACGGCCGGAGGTTGAGCAGGGGCATGTACTGCACGTACTCCAGCGTGTACGGCACGTGCAAGACTTGCCTCTGCAGCAGGTTTTCGACCACGTGCATGAGCCTCTTCCATTCGCTGTGGCTGCACCAAGGGAGGACCTGAATGAGGGCAACCAGGAATCCTTTGCTGAAGAGATTCACTTCTTCAGGGTTGTCCACGTTGACTGTGAGGAGCGTCAGCATTGTCTCCCTGAGCGCTGTGGACACGCAGCAGCACTCCATCCATGCCAGGAGCCCGCTGCCCGGTCCATAAGCTGGCAAAGGCTGGGATGTCCACTCGTCCTCAGGAAGTGTGCAGATCTCAAACAGCGTCGCCGGGACCTCGTTCTTGAAGTGGTCTCCGTAAAGCTTCTTCAGCCGGAGACCGATGGTCCAGTCCAGTGACGCCACCCTCCTGTGAAGCCAAGCCAGCGACTGGACCCACAGCTCAGGGGAGGGGGCGGCTTCTGGTCTTACCACCTCACAGAGCTGGCAGAGGATGTTCAGTATCAGGTCTTTGGTCTCCAGTGAAGGGAAGAGCTGGTCCCTAGGGTGATGCCAGTACTTCGTGTAACCATCTAGAAGCTTGCAGAGGCTGAGAAGAAGAGGGAATGGGTGACAGGACTTGATCCAGTGCTCTTCTGAACAGGACTGTATCCCCAAAACCTTACTGAGGATCTGGAGGCTCAGTTCAATTTGAGCCGAGTCTGACTTCAAATAAGGAAGGACAAAGGCTTTGGTTACCTCTGCAGGGGACACAAGCGGGGTGGCTGAGCTTGGCTGCATAAGAAAGGCCAGGAACTCAAGGAACTGTTCCTCTTCCCTTGCAGTGGAAAGCCTCCCCCATACTGCCTCCTCCAGACACCTCACTACCAGGTTGCGTGGCCTGCCCAGATCATCGTGGGTCTCCAGGAAGCTCACTGCTGGGAAGGAGCAGAGAATTTGCCCGAGGAACTGGTGCGCTCCTAGGTTGACTACAGCAAGATTACAAACCTGCTTCACCGTGGCCTCGGGGTACAGCAGCATGAGCCTGGCCACAGAAGCCACGGCCCTGGTCAGGCCTTCATCAGACACGCTCTTTGTGATCTGGTTGAAAGTCACATTCAGATCCCCCTGGAACCCCTCCATAACAACCTGCAAGTTCAGGGACAGACCTGGTCCGCCCCAGGACGCCAGGACGCCTGAGATCACTTTGTTTTTGTCGGTTAACGAAAGCTCAGTGTAACACTCCACGATGGCTTTGGTCACTTGCATCTGAAGCTCTCGGGCCTCCTTGTCTTGGCGGAACATGGCAAATTTCACCAGCATCTCCAGCAATTTCAAAACTAGCTCTGGTTTCTGGAAGAGAGCTTTGTTTTCCACAAGGCAGTCAACCCAGTCCTTCGAAAAGGCCCAGGTCTTTTCAGATGCAAAAACAGAGCACATCTCCTCGTACCGGTCCAGCTTTTGCTCAATGATTGTCATGACAACTGAAGACAAAAGGCTGGTGTCCAAATTCTTGCTCTTCAGGCTGGCACTGATCTCCTTGAGAAAGTCCTTGGTGATCTGTGTCAGCTCTAACACTCCGCGTGTCTCATCCTCACCCAGGTCTCTAGTCTCTGAGAAGCAATCCAAGTTCTTCCCAAAGGTGGTAAGAGTGTCCAGGAGCCGGTAGCTCTCATAGCAGAGCACCTCAGAGCTGTTCAGGGTGCCCTGCAGCTCCTCTCCCCAGGCACGCAATAAGGTGCAGAGAAAGTCCAAGCCAACAAAGAGCTCCTCACGAGAGAGCTTGGCCACGGACAAGAGGCTCACGCTTCTCTCTGCTTCCTTCACCTTCTCGTCCAGCCCCCTGTGGTGGAACTGGCTTTCAGCGTCGCTGGTCCAGAGGCTGACCACAGAGCTGACCTTGTCCAGGTACTCCGCAACAGGGAGAGGGCTGCCCTCTGGCTCTAGCTCAGAGAACACAGACAGCAGCTCCACCAGGTTGGCCAGGGCATAGCACCTCATGCGGGGCAGGGCGATGCTCCTGTAGGTTTGCTTTAACCCCTCTATCAGTACCATGAGCAGGCTGGTGGCAGCAGGGGGGTCATTCAGAGAGCCACGGTCACCCTTGAACCTCTTTGGGGGCTGGAGACCATCATCCAGACAGGACTCGCACCCGTGCTGACGTATGAGAGTGCTGAATGCAGAGACTGTTGCGTCTTCCTGTCCCTCCTTGTGTTTCATCACCTCCCACCACACGTCCAAGAAGAACCTGATGTCCGACGGGGATGTCTCACTGGCGACATACTCCACCAAGTGCTCCAGCTCGCTCTGGCGCACATCCTGGGGCAGCGCCAGCAGCAGCTGCACGAAGAGCCGGGGCGCACCAAGGGCCTTGATGAGCTCAAAGAGGACGGTGCGGTTAACATCGGGGATCATCCTGCCCACGGAGAAGAAGCCGTCCTCCTTCCATCCCTGGTCCAGCGAGGCGGCCGGCGGGCCCGGCAGCAGGACTTTAGC